CAATCGTCCTGTCTCCCAAATAAATATTTATAATAGATATAATATTTATAAATATACATTTAATATTTTTATATGTCATAATAATAATACAGATTACAAAGATCATATACCTTTCCATTTCAATCCTTTATATGCCGTTTTCATATCTTTGCCTTTATCTTTCACCTGTAGATATCAACCTTTATAGCATTTCTTCCATTAACTCTTATTATATTCTAATAGATATTAAATAATATAGAAAGTTATAAATATAATGTTCAAAAATGTTAATTGATAGCTCATACATGATTATATATAAAACAATGTTTGTAATAAATTATGTTTTAAACTTACTGATCTAACAGCATATTTTACTGCTGGATTGGCCTGCAAGATAACAGAATAAAATATTATTTTATTTTCTTTTACAATAAAGGCAGATAGCAGATATTTTGGAGATAAACTCTAATACCAATTTAATTGAAATGTTAATGTAACATGCCTTATCTTTTACACTACGGAAAAATGCGGAGCTTTCTTTTCGCATAGTGTAAGTCCATTCCCTATATTGTTGTATAAATTTATTACTTGATTTGGCCGAATAACTGCAGGCTTCCATTTCGAATTCATCTGAGAAGCCTAGTCCTGAATTAAGCATATTTAATCTTTCTTCTATAAACTGAAAATATCCAAAATGTTTTTCTTTAGATTAGCAGTTGTAATTATACTATAATATAGTATAATTAGACAGTGCTTAGAATAATAGTCATACATTTCGGCCAATTCCTGAAGCGTTGTCTGGTGTTCCCCTACCTCTCAAAGCTCAAACTGCTGACATCGATGAGATATTATTAAGTCCATGATATAAAGACAAGAATATGCCTATGCGCAGGATATAATCACGATACTCGAACGACCAATTAGATTGTTGACAAGTTATGTCATAGTTTCGTGGTAAATTCGAATGTATTATTTATACTTACAGCACTCCTTGCAATATATTTTAACAAATGTACAAAAGATATTAAACACAAAATATTAAAAAATACAATATTATAAATACAAAAATATTATAATATAAAAAGAAACACTAAAAATAAAAATATATATTTCAGAAATTTATTTAACCTTCAAATATAATACTAAGATTGATCCGTGAGATCATGCGAAAGAAAAAACGCTATATTTATATCTGTACGCTATATGATACAAGGGCAAGTCAATAAATTTTTAGAAAATCTGTCAGAAGGCACTCGCAGTGTCATGTCACATTACTTTTTTGACAAGTAACATCTCTCAGCTGATTACTGTCAAATTTTGAATGGAATTCATCGCGTGATTTCTGTAGACGATTAAAGCGAACAACCTTTGTATTTTTTTGCAAAATGGAAAAAAAACCGAGTTTCGTGCAGTGATCAAATATCTACATATGAAAAGTTTAATGCCGAAAGAAATCAAAGTCGAGTTGGATAATGTTCATAGCACATCTGCACCAGCGTTTGTGACTGTATACAATTGGGTGAATGAATTTAAACGTGCATCCACATGTGATGCACCTCGTTCGGGACGTCCAATTGAGGCTACTCCAGAAATCATCGATAAAATCCACGATATTGTTTTGACTGATCGACGAATGAAAGTGCGCGAGCTTGTTGAGGCCACAGGCACAGTGATTTCAATTTTGCACGAACAATTGGATATGAAAAAGCTATCGGCAAGATGGGTGTCGCATTTGCTCACTGTGAATCATAAACGCGAGCGTGACGATTTCAAAACATGTTTGGAGATATTTCAACGTAATCCAGATGAATTTCTGCGTCGATTCATTACTGTGAACAAATATGGAGCCATTATTTCATACCCGAAACGAAGGTACAGTCAAAATAATGAACTTTACCGGGTGAACCAGTTTCGAAGAAGGCGAAGACCGTAAAGTCGGCCGGAAAGGTGATGGCCACAGTTTTTTGGGATGCACGCGGTATTAATTCATATCGATTGCCTTCCGTCAAAGCAAACGATCAATAGCGATTATGCAACCTTATTGGACCGTTTCAACAATATTTTAAAGAAAAAACGTTCCCATTTGGCGAAGCAATACACGGGTTTACACATGTCCGGCACTGATGATCAAATTCAACGAATTCCGCTACGAATTGTTTCCCCATCCAGCATATTCGCCAGATTTAGTCCTCTGCGACTATTTCCTGTTTCCCTGAATTCTTCCCTGAAGAAATGGTTCGAAGGAAAGAGATTCACCACCAAAGAGTAGCTCATCACCGAAAGCTTATTTTGAAGGGTTGGACAAATATTATATTATTTGAACGGCTTGAAAAAGTTGGAGAATCATTGAATCAAGTATCGAGTTGAAAGGAGATTATGTTGAGAAATAAAAATGAATTGATCAAAAAAAATGTTTTACTATGTTTTTCTAAAAACTTATTGACTTGCCCTCGTATATCAGTTTGATTAATAAAACATAGATTTCTAAAATTGCTGTTTTTATTCTAGTTCTTTTAAATCAATATCAGGGAATAACTTCGAGGGAAAAATATCGTTATTTTACCTTAATGCTTAAAGGGATGCTGAAGTGGTCAAATTGTCGGTATTTCGCAGATCAATATAAATCTCCGACTTTACTAAACGAAATCAAAAATACTTTTATAGGATTGAAGTAGATTAGACGCAAAATTTGAGTGCTGTAATAGATTTTATACTAAAATAGGAAAAAAAATTAAAAACTTATATTTTTTTCACCTCGTAGAGCTATCACGTGACATAAATGTTTCCTTAATACAAAAGTTTTATAGCTCATATGGACTACACGATAGTGCACTCAGCGCATGACGTACACAAATAATACTGAATTTATGAAACTAAGATTAAAAGCTTCAAAAGAAAGATTTATATTGATCTGCAAATAATGTGATACATGAACGCTGAGCGAAAACTCGGAATAAATAAAGTAATAATTATGTCTAGCTAAGTGTTCGATCTTCTAAAAGTTGACATTGCAATATGATAGATAAAGACAAATGAATGTTTGAGCGAAACACAACGATATATAATAAGTATAAAAAATGAATGAAAGATCGCTACTACCGAATTTGGAATAGTTTTATCGATAATACACGGCTCCAGCATCCCCATTTAATGAATATTTTTTATTACTTAACTAGCTCTTTAGGTTATGAAAAGTGTATCATTTTTTCAAAAATATTTTCCTCATAATTTATTTCAAAGAAGAAGAATCGAAAACTTATGCATTTTATAATTTGATTAATTATTATTTTATTATATATATTAATATTAATTAATATTATTAATATTATTAATATTATTAATTATTTGGTTATATTATTGGATGCATTAATTTTTTTTGGTAAAAATATGTTTTTTTTATTGTAAAAAAATGTTATAAATTGATCATTCAAAATATCGTCCATCGTTAGCCACTACTTTTTCCCATCTTTCTGGTGATAGATGGATTCTATGTCGAAAAAATGATACATATTTTGAGACTATTCATGAATCGACTTATTTTTTGGTATCTTCATAAGAATAGAAGCGCTTCTCAGATAGGCCATGAGTCATCAATCGAAATAAATCGTAATCAAAAGGAACAATATCTGGGCGGATATGATAGGACATTCCAATTAAGCACTTCTAATGTTTCCTTGACCGGTTTCGCAAAATGTGACCCAGCATTGTCGTGATGGAAAATGTTGTGTCTTTTTGCATAATCTGGCCGTTTTTGCTTCAATGCTCGACTCAATTGCATCAATTGTTGTTGATAGTGTTCCCCAGTAATGGTTTTGTTGGGTTAAAGCAGCTCATAATATTAGGTGTACAACTTTGCTTCCGCCATTTTTTTCCGAAATTCGAGGCTTTATTATAAAAAACTGGTTATACATTTATGATTCAAAGTATTGTCCATCGCTGGCCACTACTTTTTTCCATCTTTCGGGTAGCGTACGAATCCCGCGTCGAAAAAACTGGTCATCTTTTGAGGTTCCACGAATCGATCCAATTTTTTACTTCTTCATAAGAAGTGCTGGTCAGCCAGATCGTGTGCCATTGATCGAAACAAGTGATAGTCAGAGGGAACAAGAACTGGAGAATACGGGTGGGGTAGGACTTCCCATTTCAACGTTTCCAAGTATGTCTTGACCACTTTCGCAACATGGGGTTGAGCATTATTATGCTGCAAAATCATTTTATTGTGTCTCTCGTTGTATTGCGGTCGTTTATCTTTCAATGCTCGGCTCAAACGCATCAATTGCGTTCGATACCGATCGCCTGTGATTGTTTCAGTCGGTTTTAACAGTTCATAATACACTACGCCGAGCTGGTCCCACCAAATACAGAGCATGACCTTGGAGCCGTGAATATTCAATTTGGCCGTCGACGTGGAAGCATGGCCGGGAACTCCCCATGATTTTCTGCGCTTGGGATTATCGTAATGAACTCATTTTTCGTCCCCAGTCACAATGCGATGCAGAAATCCCTTCCGTCTTTGGCTTTCAAGCAGCTGTTCGCAAGCAAACAAACGCCGTTCAACATCTCTCGGCTTCAATTCGTACGCACCCAATTTCCTTGCTTCTGAATCATTCCCATGGCTTTGAGGCGTTTTGAAATGGCTTGTTGAGTCACTCCCAATGATCGTGCCAATTCTTCTTGACACGAGTCTTGCTCAAGTAATGCCTCCAATTCTGCATCTTCGAAAACCTTCTCTCTTCCACCGCTATGCCGATCTTCGACATCAAAATCACCGTTCTTGAAGCGTTGAAACCATTCACGATACGTTCTTTCACTAATAGCGGCCTCACCATAAGTATTTGAGAGCATTCGATGAGCCTCAGTCGCAGATTTCTTCATATTGAAGCAAAAAATTAAAACCTCCCGCAAATGACGAGAATTTGGCTCGTAAACTGACATTTTCAATCGAGAATAACTTTATGATGCAGACACAAATCGACTAATGTTTCTATGGCGTTATGTTGACAGATGCCCAAGTTTATTGTATGACGTCTATGATCTATTTATTTCGACCACCACTTATCGCTAAAGGATCCATTTATAGGAAAACGGCGGAAGCAAAGTTGTACACTTAATACATCGAGCTGATCCGATCAAACAGAGCTTGGCGCCATGAATATTCGGCTTTGCCGTCATGTTGGTTCGCCTGGCTTACACCATGATTTTTTGCGCTTCAGATTATCGTAGCATATCCATTTTTCATCACCGTCATAAGATACAAAAAACTTTTTCTTTTGTGTCTTTGAAGCAACAATTCACAGATCATTTTGCGCCTTTCCTCGGCTTCGTATAGCCTAATTTCCTTGCTTTTAAATCATTCCAATGGCCTTCAAACGTCTGGAAAGCGTTAATCGATCAACATTTAATGATTCTGTAAGTTCTTCTTGCGTTTGATTCGGGTCTTGATTGGATAAAGCTTCCACTTCCTCTTCAAACTTTTTCGGCTAGTCTGGATGTTCCTTGCCTTCCGTGTCAAAATCATCTTTTTTATAGTGTTGAAACCAATTGAAATCGATGAAGTATAATTACCATAAACTTCCGACAACATGTTGACTTTCCGCAGCATTTTCCTTTAAGTGGAAGCAAAAAAGCAAAGCTCGCAAATTTTATTACATTCGACAAAATTCGACATATTCAATGCTTAAAAAAACAATGTTGTTTACAGTTTTGCAAAATGATACCTATTGAAAATTAAAGTCACATGATGTTACTTTGAAGATAGCAATAATATAGTGCGATAGTACTAATTACGCCATCTCTTGAAAATCTTTTAAAATTAATGCACACTCCCAATAGTAAATAAACCAAAGAACAACATTCATTATTTTCTTATATTGTTTATATTAATAATATCACCAAATACAATCACGGGAAGAAACAATTTTTTGCACACGCACGCACACACGCACGCACGCACATCTCGAAAATAAATTCCTTATTGTGAACACTGACTCAATTATACTTTCTTAAAACTTTACCTTTGATAACGGAGATATTTCGATTTTCAGCCATTCTTCACGCCATTTAATGCAAACTGCTTCATCTTTTGGAAATAAAAAATTTCACCGGAAGATTTTTCGTCTTTCGATAATAATTTTTGCATGCACATTTCTTTTACTGAACACTTTATTTTAAACTGTGATCACAAAATACAATCACTTTGTAAACAGATGTACTCACAGCCGTGATTTGCAACATGGCTGTGTTCGCTTTGCTGCTTACAATATTTTAAGCATTGTTTCATCCTTGTTGTTTATTATATTTAAACAAGGACAAAATCACTCGAAGCTGACGTAACTTGTTGACAGTGTTTTTATCCTGTTTATCATGTTTTTATCCTCTCTTTTCCATATCTGCGCAATTACTTGACGAGCATACGCTTGTCTTTATATCATAATTAGACCTAGTCTACAATCAGATGTTTGTCGTGCGCATGCGCACAACCTTGATTTTTTTATGTCGACTGTCGACTGACGTGCGTTGTTTGGAAGATGGTCAGATCCCATCTTTTACGATTAATGACATCCAATAAGCGTTATCTGACTTGATTGCAAACGAGACCTTAAACATCGTCAGCCCTGGGCAAATTTTCGTAATAAAAATTTACGATTATCAACATAAATATTTCGATAATACATTATTAAATTCATGATTTTTTTTATTATATAAATGCTGTATAAATAAGTATACATACTTTTAATGCTATTTTATATTGCCGAAAAATTATAATTTTTATTTGTAGTTATCATCTCTATTGATAAAAACTCGAGTGATAATATTAAAATCAGTTTTAAATAAAAATCGAACATTATTAAGTTTATGTTTATTAAACAGATATACATGTCTATGAAACTGATAGATCATGAAATTAGTACCATATTATCAGTTTCTTACTCTTAATCTTAACTTAAATTTTAACAGTCGTGAATTTCTAAGCATCAATTATCTTTAATAGTATCTCGTCAGTGCTGCTAATCACGCGTGTGACGCTGTACTTCAAAAGTGTTGCAATATAAGAAATATGCTAGGATCTCCTCGATAAATTATCATTAAAATATTTTTTCCTATATAATTTTTATTTTCATAAATAATTAAATTAAATTTTCTACAATAATTATTAACATATTATAATCTGTAATACAATAAACATAACTAACTACAATGATAATTGCATGATAATTGCAATATGGACAATGGCTTTCCATTGTCCATATTACCTTTGGATTCTTAGAATGTTATTATTGATGCGATTTTTCAAGAGTTTCTTCAGTAGATTTTTTTCACTAAAAAAGTAACAAAAAGATGATCAAATGTGTGACTTGAAGTAAAATTCTATATTATATGTTTTACATTATTTTCATATTTATGAGTAATTAAATTATTGGGAGTACAAATAAGTTTCCGCCGTTTGCAAAAGACGGCGCCACTAATAAACTATAGTTAAAATTGTTTGATGTAAAAAGACATATAAGATTGGACATCCGGCAACACCATAATCTTGAAATATCAGCGATTTTGTATCAGTATCATATATTTTTTTTGCACGAAAATGTCGAGTTTTAAGCTGAATAAGCGTCATTTGCGGGAACTTTTGATTACTTTGAACTTTTGATACTTCTTTAATTTGAAGAAATCTACAGCTGAGGCTCATAGATTGCTTGTAGAAACATATGATGATGCTGCCTTAAGTGAGAGAAGTTGTCGTGAGTGATTTCAAAAGTTTAAGAACGGTGAATTTGACGTCGAAGACAAAGAACGTTCGGCGGAAGGCCGAAAGTGTACGAAGACGCGGAATTGGAAGCATTATTGGATGAAGATTCGTGCCAAACGCAAAAAGAACTTGCACTTACATTAGGAGTGACTCAACAAACAATTTCATATAGTTTGAAATCATTGGGAATGATTCAAAAGCAAGGGAATTGGGTTCCATATGAAGCCGAGAAACTTTGAACGCCGATTTTTCATATGTGAAATGCTGCTTACCAGACACAAACGAAAGGGTTTTTTGCATCGTATAATCACTGATGATGAAATGGATCCACTACGATAACCCAAAGAAGAGGAAATCATGGGGATCACCTGGCCATGCTTCAACATCGATAGCCAAGCCGAATATTCAGGGAAAAAAACTCATGTTGTGTATTTGGTGGGACCAGCTTGGTATCGTGTATTATAAATTGCTCAAACCGAACGAGACCATTACTGAGGCTCTCTACCGAACACAATTGATGAGATTGAGTCGAGCACTCAAGGAAAAACGCACCCACTATTACTCCAGGCATGACAAAATTATTCTCCTGCATGATAATGCTCGACCGTTGCGGCGCCAGTCAAAACCTATTTAGAAATGGGAAGTTCTACCCCACCCGCCGTATTCTCCAGACATTGCTCCTTCCGACTATCACTTGTTCCGATCGATGACGCATGGCCTGAGTACTTCACATCATATGAAGATACCAAAAATTGTATCGATGATTGGATAGCCTCAAAAGATGAAGCGTTCTTCCGACGCGGTATCCACATGCTACCAGAAAGATGAGAAAAAATAGTGGCTAGCGATGGCCATTACTTTGAAACATTATGTACCGTTCTTTCACAATAAATGCTTAATTTTTGATAAAAAACGGCGGAAATTTATTTGTAATCCCAATAAATTTTTGTATTTTTAACATATTATAGTCTACAATAATTTACAATAATTACAATATAATATAGAATATGAATAATAACTTTTCATGTTACCTTTAAGTAATAATCATATTGTAATTATATTATTGTAGACTGTAATAATAGAAAATTTAATATTAAAAATATTATGATGGCTCAAATGATTAATAATTAATTCAGTAAATAAAAAGGACCAACGAGTTAAAGTAAGTTATTATTGTCAATATTTTAAGGCAAACCATTATAAACAAACGTTTTGACCTTCTAGGAGGTTCTTTTCAGTTTTAGTTCTAAATTAAAATCTAAACTACTAATCTACATAATAAAAATCAATTATAAACTAAAAGCGGTAACACGAACACAATGAACCACTGATTACAATGATTCGCTCAAAAAATCAATTCATTTAAATGGCTTTCATTAGTACTATATTGGATTATACACTTCTCTAACTTCCTGTCAATATAGTGTAAGCTTTATTCTGAAACTTAAATCTCATCCTGCGGCTTTATAAAAAAACGTTTGTTTATAAAAGTTTACATTAAAATATTGACGATAATAACTTGCTTTAGCTCCTTTTATTTATTAAATAGTTAAAAATGAAAATTTAATTTAATTACTCATGAATGAAAATTATGTAAAACTTACAATATAGAATTTTAGTTTGCCGAGTCATATTTGATCATCTTTTTGTTCTTCTTTTAATGAATCTGCTGAAAAACCACTTTAAAAAAATGAATCAATAATAATACTTCAAATATGGAAATGGCTATTGTTCACATTGTAATTATCATATTGTAATTATATTATCAATTATATTATTACGGACTACAATATGTGACTACAAAATGTTATAATAATAATAAAACATTTAATTAGTTATGAAAATAAAAATTATGTAGAAAAAAAATGTTTATAATAATAATTGGCTAGAAGGTATGATTTAAATATATTTCTTATATCGCAACATTCCTGAGACACAGCGTCACGTATGCAATCGGCGCAGACGATTCGATTATCGAGATCATTGCCCTAAGAATCGACCCGAAATGTGCAACTAATTCAGAACACGGCACTGTACTTATAACACACTTACTTGTTGGAAAATTTGTAATTCTAACATTTTTCGTAAAAAGGGTTGCATGGAAGATGGTCTACTTTCAACAAATGCATTTTGATTAAACGTGATACGCTCACCCTGCTGCAAAGTTAATGCTTCTCTATAACCTGCGGTTAATTGCACTAATGCCCGCAGGAATGCCCTTGATACGCCATCTCCAAGAAGAGTCGATCTATTGCGTAACGCTTTCTTTAAATTCGTCATCTACAACACAGAAACTTTTTACTTTATTATTTAAGACATTTATTAATCCTTAAAGATACATATATTAGTGTATCGTAGCACTATATCGCTTTACGCACTACATCTTGAGGTAAAGATTCCAAATCTTGAAACGGTGACTCAATTGTGTTATTATCAGCATCTAATATAACAACTTCTCCTAAATCACTCTTCGGTACTTTCTGCAAAAAATGTTATACAAATATTATATATATAGTAACGTTTATAAATATTTGACAATAACATCTTTGTCACATTTCATAAAAAGTTAAATATCTCGATGAAAAAAGTTATAGAGAAGATTTTGACTATGCATTTTAAAGCTAAGATTTTAAAAGCATAAAGGACTTTAAAATCGCGTTTGAATTTTTTTGTTCTTAAGTTACATAAAATTGAAAATTAATATTTTTGTCTTTGAAGCGCTGCAGTTTGATAAAACATTTTAGGACAAAATTTAATATAAAAATATTAAAGTAACCATTCTAAGTTTTAAAATGGTTTTTGAAAAAAATTAGTACAATGATTTTCCACAAAGGTATCAAATTTTTTTATTGTGTAAAATTTTATTGTATAAAAATTTTATTGTATAAAAACACTTATTTTTTCTAAAATACTTTGTAACTTTGAAATTTATGGAGATAAAAGAGAGAAATGTTTATCATAATGTGCTTAATTCGTATAAATCTTTTCTAAATTTTTTAAAAACTTTTTTGACTATCAATTTTAAAATAAGTTTTGCGCAAAATTTTATACGGCAAAAAAAATTTCATATCTTTGCGAAAAATCATCATATCAAATTGTTTCAAAAAGCGTTTTGAAGCATACAAAAATTACTTTAAAATACTTTCATATTAAATTTTGCCCAATGATATTTCATTAAACAGCATTTCAAAGACAAAAATATTGCAAAAAAAAATACCAATTTTATATGATTTAGGACAAAATATAGAAAAAAATTCAAACGAAGATTTAAGGAGATCCTCTTAAATCTTTTGTATTATCGTTTAAACACAATAATTTTTATATAACAATTACTTTTCTTCTCTTTTAGAGATTTGGAAATCCTTTTTCAGGATTAAAGTATACGCATTGATATAAGCTGTGAGGTGGAGTTTATGCCAAGAACAAAAAAAATTGTTTAAATCGAGATCTTTACACTTTCTTATTCTAATATAATGTAGAGTCAATATCATAACATTTGTCAATATCATAACATTTGCTCGACATAAAAGCTTTATTTGTACGAAATTGAAAGACTGAATTCTATAACATACGTGTAGGTGTCAGGGGATAAGTAATATCCGCCGGGCTAATTTTGCTCTAATTTCGATTTTGACGATTCTTGTAGAGAATTTCATAGCGTATTTTTTTGTGTTTAAAGCAAATTTGTAACTTTATGTTTTTAAGTTATGAACAGAGAAAAAAATAATTAATAAAATGAAAAAATTTCAATGCATTTTTGTGTTCGATTCGGTATATCTCAGCTAAATATGAATATTTTTCTTTGAAAATTTCACAGAATAAATTTCTACATTATTTAAATTTCTACAGTAGCAAAAGTATTTTGTAAGTAATATTTTTATTAATATATCTGCAGTGTATCCGTTGATCCGACATAAATATAAGTGGCATTATAGGGTAAAATAACAATTATTTTGTGTTACTGAAATCGTACATTAAAAGATTAATTTTTTATTTATTGACAAATATCTATAATACGAATAAAAAATATTTTGTTGGTTGAAAGAATAAAGATAGAAAAAATATTAAAATCATTATGGAACAAATGTATAAGAGATTTAATATTTTATAGTGAAACTTTTTGATTTTATTATCACGGTATATAGATGGGGCATAGATGAGTCTACGAGTTTTTCTATACGATATTTAGGTACATAGATGGTATATAAATGAGTCTTCTCTATACGATATTTCGCAATCTTTGATCATTCTTGCAAAACAGCCTATAACTCTCGCTATTCAAAAAATTTCAACATCGTATCCGTGTGTCATCCTTTTCTAAAAAAATGCTTTAGAGTTAGAATCCGAACTTTAAACTAGGCCACTTCAAAACTTTAATTTTATTTTAAAAAGTCTTTTACAAGTTGAGAAGAAAGCTTTGGATCGTTGTATCTTGTTGAAACATCCCTCTTTTAGACATTTTTTTTTACCATGAAGCAGCATGAGTTCCTTTAAGATCTCAATAAGCAAGTCAGTCCATTATTGTCTCTATAAGAACCTGTCTCATTTCTGGGAAAGTATCCCCAGACCATAACGCAAAATTCATCATGCTTTACTGTGGATACTTAATACCGAACATAATTTTTTTTATTTTTAAGACGGCGGATATGTTAGGTATCATCAGAGGAAAAGAGAACTTGTTCTCATCACTCTATACGACTTTAACCTAATCTTTTGTCTATGCCAAATGTTTTTTTGCAAATGCAAGCTTAGCCTTTCAATTTTTACGCTAATCATTGGCTTAATTCTTAAATGGGGTCTTCCCATTTAAACTTACAGTTGTCAAGCGATGTTTTATATTTGAAACATGTAGCTTGCAATCGAAATTTCTCTATATAAATCATTTCTTATTTTCTTGGCTAATTTATACAGCTATTAGCACTAGATCTCATTAATATTTTATGCAATTATTTATGAATAATTTTTTAATTGGCCATTCTTTCTGCTGTCTTGCGTTAACCATTATGTGGTTTGTTGTTTACATTTTCAGTTAACCTCTTTTTTACACCAGAAACTTACAAGTTGCTGAGACGGACTAAAACGCTTTGCAATTGCACAGACTGAATTTCTTTGGAATACGGCGTTTAAAATGCATTCTTTCAATTCTACTGGCTAATCTGCATTTTGGTATTACTAAACTTATATAAACAAATGCCTACATAAACATATTTTAATTACATAATCATATATTTGCTATTTACTAATTATTGGCAATACAAAATTTTTATGATCTGTCACATTAAACACAAACTTTGAGACAGCCTACTTCAAATGACTACCAAACGTAAACTATGCGTCCTTTCTGGCTGAAATTTAGCCTGAAGGGATTCGAAGAGTAGATCTTTCGAGATGTCACGTCATCAAATGGATTGTAGCGCCATTTCATGGAAATTTACCAAACTTATCAAACGACCCATGTATAATAGAAACGTCACAAAATACTTTTGAGAGCTACCGTATTTTTCGAAATATAGAATACATAAAAAATTTACGAAACATTTCACAGCCGAATGTCAAATTTTTCAAAATATTTTTCTTAAATTCGTATAATTTTATTCATTCGATCACAAAAGTTGTGGTACAAATTTTTGAATTGTCAATTTTTATTTATACTACCATTTTGTTTATTAATTAAGGAAATTTTTTTGAAAAGTTTTAGCTCTTTATACATTAAGATAGTAATGATGATTTATACGTCGATGCGATTATTTATAATAGTAAACAATAAATTAAGTTGAAAAAGATTTTGGGAGTCTTTAAGAATATTATGTTTTAATACATTATTGGCCCAGTTTACATCGTGCAGTTGATATGAGTATTAGTAACTTTCTATTAATAAAATAATCTTAATTTCGGCGAATATATTGAAACAAATACATGATATATGTATTTAATTCATCATTATGATGTATATTGTACCAATTTAATACATCATTCCTTAAATACATTACTGAAATTGAAATAATTTAATAGAAAGTTACTAGTTAGTACGTATATCAAATGCACGATGTAAATTAGGCCATTACTACCTCCGTTCCGTGGAGAAGAACGGTTCAAACTCTTGCGTTGCACACTACGTAATCGCATCGACAATATAAATCGTTATTATTTTACAACCTTAATGTCTAAAGAATTAAAACTTTTCAAAAAACTTGCTTAACTAAAAAACAAAATTTTAGTACAGGTAAAAGTTGAAAATTCGAAGATTTGCATAACTTTAGTGATCGAATGAACAAAACAACAAATTCGGAAGAAATATTTTGAAAAATTCGGCAACATTTCGAAAATTTTTTACGTGCTCTATATTTCGAGAAATATGTTGAAGTTTGTTTTGTGAAAGTTTAAAAAAAAATATTCATATTTTTGACTGAAATATGACGAGTCGAACACAAAAATATATTAAAATTTTTTTTATTTTACAAATTACTTTTTTCGTTTTTATAATATATTTCGGAAACAAAAAAATCATATTTGATTTAAACACAGAAAAAAATCTGCTATAAAATTCTCTACGAGAATCAAACGTCAAAATCAAAATTAGAACAATGTTTAAAAATTAACTCGCCGAACAATACTTAACCCGCAAAATCTACGCGTATCTCTTATAAAATTCAGCCCTTCAACCGTAATCCAAAAACTAGTAGTATTTACATGAATAACGTAAAGTTCTTAGAATTAGACTTATTATTAGATGTCTAATTACACTTATTATTAGATGTCTAATTAAAATGCTATTGTTCTACAAAAATAGTATAACAGAATATGCCCTCACGCCAAATTAGACTTGCTATACGTTAAGCCTTCAATTCGATTGTTAAGCCTTCAAAAAAGAAATATTTTCACGTTTTTCAAGTTTTAAGAGGATCTTAAAGTGAAGCCTGAATCTCCGACGAGGTTATTAAATGTTACTGTTTTTCCAGCGCATTAATATCTTTATATACTTTATATACTATTATAATATCTCATGCAGACTATGATACATCGCACATTCGTGTCAATTTTCGTATAATAAATTTGTCGCGATAAAATGTCCTAATTCCAAGAATTTGTTCTTTGTTCATACGAAATATGTGTCTGTGAGCTACAATTTCAATAAGTACAGATTGCAAAGTTTTTATATCAAGCGAACATTGTTACGATATTGACATAGTTCTAATGCTATTAGATTAAGAAATGATAAAAAAGATTTCATTTTAAATCATTTTTTGTAATTCTCGACATAAACTTTACCTCACAAACACGTATTAATGCATATGCTTTAATCCTTGAAAATGATTTTCAAATTTATAAACGAGGAAAAAAGTAATTGTTATATAAAAATTGCATAATGTCATGGCTTATTTCGAGCTATAATTAATTTTAAATTAATATAATTAACAAACGTTTTGGCTTACAAAGCCTTCTTCAGTGTTACAACGCAGAGATATAATGAAAATTTAAA